ACGCGTAGCGTGCGTAATGGGGCACTTTCCATGCACGTGTTGCATAAAACATTTATACTAATTTGGCCTAGCCCATCCATTTCAAGACAATGAATCTATGAAATGTTATATCTAACTATAATATTCACAGATCCATTAAGTACCTCTTAAGTTATCCCTGGTTTCCATACACGCGTTGCCGCGCGTTTAATTGCGCGTCAAACGCACGCATTTGAATAAAACACGCACTTGATTGGGGTAATCTATGGAGGGGTAACGCATGTTTGACGCGCGTTATACTTAACGCGCGGAAACGCATGCATGATGGCAACCAAAGATTAAAAGAGAACTACTTACATTCACCACCGATACGATGAATCTAATGCCTCCCAGGATTCATATCCTTCTCTCATGTTGCTTCGTTGCACGTTCATGAGACAACACTCGCGAAAACACGATCAAACGTGAAACTAATTAACCACGGTTCCGTCATCTATATCACATACAATGATTTGCGTATGATTTGCATATCGTTCTGCACAATTGAAAGCGATAAGCGATCGTAAATTATTTTCAATTTGATGAATAAACCGAAACACGACACGGGATGCATTTGAATTAGAGCAATAATCATCGTTCGGTAAGTAAATCGCGGAGAAACATCAATTTGGAATTTGGATCTTTTCCTCGATCTTTTCTCTTCTTTTCGATCTCTACGGATAAATACTCGCGAGACACGAGCGAGACTTCGCAATGAACGACCAGTGCCTCGAAATGCGATGCAATATGTACAAAGGAAGAGGAGTAAGAACTCTACGCACGGAGCGACACGCACGGGTGCCTGTTCATTCGATGGTCGGGACAAGAATGATAGTGCGGCGCGCGGCGTCGCGGCGACCTTCCGCAAACAGGGCGCGGGGGCCGCGGGGCGCGGAGTATGACACGGTCTATTGTGTGCGTAACGAAAACAAGCGCCGGGGGGTGCCGCGTGCCAACCGCCTTGCCATCTATAATATTTAAAGTTATAAGATCAATGTATGCCGAATGTTCTGTTCTTTAAATTTCGATAAATGCGGATTACTATCGCATATCGAATTTCGTTTTATGAATTTATTATAGCGTCATCTAAATCGATTAATTTTATTCAATTAAGAGTTTTAGAATGGACACTATAACTTACACCTTAATTCGACGAATACGCAATTTGATTAATATAAATCTATTAATACAATGTGTATAATATTAATATAATATTTATATCTTGTTAAAATAATGTGTAATAATAAATTTTATATTATACCAATAATAAATTTAACATGCAAATTACTTTTAATCCTTTCGTTTTAATAAAAATTTAAATTTACTTAATTACTCGATTTAAAAAGAGTTATCAAATTTAGTAATGACAACCATACCCATATCGTTATACGAAATAAATATTATAATTTTACGAACTATATTTTCATGTTATATCAACTATGTTTTTTTAAGTAAAGAGCACTATTTTATATGCTTGGCGCCGCAGGATACTATAAATTATAGTAAAATTATGGTATTTTTGACTATATATTTTTTTCAGTGTGCAGAGAAGAAATCGATGGGAAGTAACGTACGTGACGGTATGCGAAGCGTCTCGTAACACTATACCTGCTCGTTCGAATGTTGCTGCGTCAGTGATAGCACAGCGTCTTCTTCGATAACGGCGCGCGTTTGTGAAGTTTTATCGCGCGTAATTATCTGTGTGTATTTCATAAGTATTTGAAGTAATCATATTTGAAATGTGCCATTAAGAAATCTATTTATTTTGCGTTAAGTTTTTTCTGTTCTATTTAGGTAAATTTCGATTAAGTACACGTTTTGATATCGATTTATTACGATTCTATCGCAATGTTTTAATATTGCAAGAAAATACAAATCAGGGTAAAATATTACATGTTTTGTTTACATAATTTTAAGTGATTATTAACAAATTTTAAAATTTTTTCAAAACTATTCCTGATAAAGAAACTATTTTTTTCAGGAGCTCATATTAGTGAGTACGGATATTCAAATATAAACTCGACTGTACTAATAACGGTTTCAATTTTGCTTTTATATAACAGACAATAAACGTTTACGTTTTTTCTACGTATAATTAGTGATAAACCCAGTTTCAACATTCCGCTATTTTTGATTTTTAAAATTTTTAACATAGGTATATAACGTCGGTTCGTATTACGGAAAAGATATTTACATCAGTATAATATTCTCCTTCTTACGATACATTTTTCGATAAGTCTCCTATATATCTTTTACAATCACAATTGTTAAGAAATTATTTCTTAGTTATTTAGGAAATCTGTAACATCTGTGTAAATGCATAAAATGCGTAACCAATCACTTTTTGACAATTCTCTTAATTATTATTATGATGAATTTATTGTTAAAATCATCAAGCCTAATAGTAAATATGTAATATTTACAAAAAAAGATAAATACACTATAAAAATGAAATAATTTAAGGTTTACTAGATTAACTACGAACAGAGTAATTGCAATGGGTTAATGATTTCAGATAGTTGTTATTGCCAAATATAAATTGTCATGTAAATAAATATCAATAACGTATAATGTCGAACGTTTCGAGTTGTAATGAGATCATCTTTAGTGCACAGATAAAGAACAAACAATAATTTAAAACGTATAAATATAAACAATTTATATATTCAACGTTTATAATTTTCTTGTCGATGCGTTAAAAACAATTTTGAACATCTGGAACAATTACTGGTAAATTATTTGTTATTAATTACTTATTACATAGGAATCTTTAAATAGATCTTCGTCATATTATACAGACTGATAGTAAAAGACATTTCTAAGATATAACGTCGACGTAATAACTCAAATATCTTTTATAATTCGATATATTAGAAATAATATCTTTCTTTCTGGATAAAATTTTTATATTTTACGGAAAATATTTCCGTTAGTAATATAAGAAAAACCGGATACTACAATCGCCAGAAGTTTAGAAGAAATTATAGGGGTTTCATAGAAATGCGTCTGCGTTAGGCGTTCATCGATTTTATAAGTCTCCCGTGCAGGCATGTTCGACAAAACTGTGTGTTCTCTAAGATGAATTATAGAAATGTCAAAGATCGATTTGAAAACTGGTTCGTCCCAACATGGAAATATTTTTTGAGCTCCATCCGCTTCCAGCAACCATCTATCACATTTAAACGATATGCCTTAGATAATATGAGCGCTCTTAATGATCGTCGGTTTAATAAATTGACACATATAGAACACATATAAGACAGGCTTATACAAAATAATTGAATAATAATACTTTAACACGTACCATTACTATATTATTACTGCATTATGTTATTATATTTTTATCACAATTGTGTAATAATATTAATTAATACAAAATACAATGCAAAACAATAGTTATATATAAAAAGAAAAAATTTTTTCTGATTGGTATATTAATATAGAATAAGTGAACGTATTTCAGAAGAGCACCTATTTTGGAACACTAATTTATGCAACACGTGCATGGAAAGTGCCCCATTACGCACGCTACGCGTGCGTGATAGACCACTTTCCAGGCACTTGCAACATAAAATAGGGAGTGTAAGCCGTGTGTAAAGATGAAAATTCCCGGGTGCGGAGTTTACGCACAAGCCGAAGGCGAGTGCGGTAACCGCACCCGGGAATTTTCATCTTACCTCACTTGTTACACAAATAACTATTTTGTCACCAACATTAAAATTTGACATTACGTGACGGCTAACATGAGAAAAATATAGTATTTCGAAATACGTTTGCTTACACTACAGTTGTATTTAGATAAGACAATATTTACTTGCATTATAATATATGCGTTTAAGTATTATATCTCATTAAATTTTACAAAATAAGTAGTTTTAAACTTCTTTCATATGCTCATGGCCATCAGACATAATAAAAAATAATGACAAATATAAATATATATAAAATAAAAAATAAATATATATAAAAATTGATAATAAATATTTAAAATTAAAATAAATATAAATATTTATAAAGAATATATTATTATGCAAACTTGACTATACGACTGTTTATTTAAACTTCTTTAATTTATTGTTAGTATATATTAAAATTTGCTTACACTATACTTCCATTTTCATCTGTGTAGGTAGTTTCAACACCAACCAAATCATCCAGTATTGTTTTAAAATCCATTTGACAAATGTAACGCCCTTCTGATAACTTATTAGCAAAATAGATGTCCACAAAATCACTTCTCGTGTTGTGTACAAAACGCGTTGATATACAGGGCTGTCGAGAATTTATTTTCGTCAGAATGAAAGATTCGATTCTTTTATGATTTGTTGTCCTCTCGCGTAAAAATGTTACTTTTCGTTGGGCGATCAATTCTGATATGAACATAGCATGTACCATAGTAATAACCTGCTTTGATTGTACTAAGATCTAACTCGACTATATAGTGCTCAGGTATTATGTGACGTGGCAATCGAATCGTACCATACAAATCGGAATTTTGACAAGTGGCTAAGATGCCTAATAATGTCAAAATGCACAGAATAGAAGTCGACATTATGACGATATTTATTTCATGTACCTATAAAGACGTTACATTCGTGACCTATTTTTGATAATTTTTGGAAAATAATATTGAACTATGTTTGTTATGCTAGTTCTTACAAATTATATTTTAAAAACTGTGTTATATTTTCTAAACGAAAAAATGTATATGAACATAAAAGTGTATTTGATTTCTAATAAACTCACCTTTCTTATTAAAATTACGCTAGAATTAGGTGTAATTCTTCGTAACAATTAGCTTTAGTAAATGTATCTCGTCGTCACAACAAGTTTTCAATGTTAGAAATATAACGATTGTACTGCCTCGAGAGATTATCGAAAACTGAAGACTATGGATATTTGATATTATAATAAATACGTAACATAACGTGACAACAACTGGTAAAGTCATTACAAAGTTTATTTATTTATTAAGTGCTCGCCAAACGAAATAATATACACAGAATTTTCTTAATTACAAAGGTTGATCAAAAATAGGAATAAAGTGAATTAATAAAGTAGTTAAAAATGAGTATTTGACAGATATAATATATATCATATTATGTACTTACAAGTACAGTAACAAAACTATTATCAATAAAAGACAGCTCTCGATGACACAGTCAAACTTGCAATTAAACAATTATAAGAAATCAACTGAAATATTTGAAAAAATGCGATTTTAGTTTTAACGATAACTTATGATACAAATATACACAAGATACAATATTTTCAATTTATTCCAATTATGTTCTAGAGAAACAGTTAAAAAATTTTCCGTATAAAATATTTGAAAGAAATAGAACGTTACATGTACACGCACATATCGTAAGTTCGTCGAAAGAATAAATCTCTATATAAAAATCGTTATTTCTATCTAGAAACTACTTACATGCAATAATGTTTATCAAGCAAAACGTGATAAAAATTTTGCGTACAAAACTTACATAATTTAGCAACACCATAAAGAAATATTATCGCGTTGCCCGTTGGAAACGTCTACTCAAAGCTTTATACAAATTAATGTCAAAACTTTATCAATTGTTGGAGTGGAAGTTTAGGCACGTGGGCAAGAATCACTTATGTGGTGTATTCAACAGTTTATCATAATCTAACGCTACATGTGTGCGATCCCGAACAAGAGGAACTTCGCGCTCCGGAGTCCGCGACGTGAGTGAGCTCCGCTTTGTCTCCTCACGATCGCGAAATCCTTCGATCATCAATAACACGGGTGGTATTGGTGCGAACACGCATCGGCCGCGTGCCGCCTCAGTGTACTTCCGCATATACACAGCTTGTTATAAATTAGATCTATTTCTAACATCAATTGTGATTTAAATTTCACAAAACTTTTTGTTAACAATTTAAAAATTCTACGCACGTCTATTATTGATTACTAAAATTTTTCGTGAACCTACATTCATAGATCTAACAGCACTTTTCTGATATAATATTTTTGTTAAGTTATCAACTCCAATCATCTCCAATAAAATTCGTAGAGTCAATTACGCGATGTGTTGAAATCTATTATGCAAAAAATGACATTTTACTCATTCGTTTCTGTTTCAATTCTCAAACATCTGTCCACATACAAAGCGATTTATTCTTCAACAAGCTTTCGCACAATGCCTACAAATAATATTATTAAAATTATGCAACGCAAGTGTGAACATTACGCATATGTATAATAATTTTTTTATGAAAAGAGAGAGAGAGAGAAATCGACAAATCGACGAAAGAGAGAAAGAGAGAGAGAGAGAGAGAGAGAGGCGCGCACGTGCGTGAGTATGTGTGCCGCTTAGGTTTGTTTATCAATTTATTATAAATTTCCATATCACAGATTTAGAAAAAAATTAGAAACTTGATTATAAAATTGCAATAATATAAAAAACGAAAAACAAAATATACGTGTGTTTGTATATGCTCAAAGCAAACTGACTAACAATAACAATCAATTGGAAAAAATTTTATTACAGATCATATCTAACAAGCAGATATCAGAATTTTAGAGTAGTGATTATATTCTTTTAGTTAGAGTCCTTTATGAGTTTACTTTCTTCTGCTAATTATACGATATTCCTTATGTCATTTAGCGAGTTTTAACTATTTAAAATCATGATTCCACAGGCGAAATATTTGACTTTGACATATCAATCACTTAGAAACACTTAGAAATAGATCTTAACTGGAATAGCGATTAATGTATTTCAAAACGCTTCACAGTAAACAAATTTGTGTTAAATTCAACACATTTCACGTGTTCCAAACGGTCTACTCAAATTTTTGTTTTAATTTAACATAATGTGTATATGTCAAATTATGACACAAATATTTATATCCATAATTTAACACAAAATAAAGAAAATGTGATGATTTTATGTATAATACAACAGACATCTGTATAATGCTAAATAGAAATGAGAAGGATATTTTTTAACAAAACTGCATTATTTTTATGTTAATCTTACGATTAATTGTAAAATGTGCAGTTATTTTAACATTTAATTTACTTAAATATGAATTTAACACAAAAAATCAAACATAATCAAAATTAGTTAAATTGACGCATTAGTATGTTACATTTTTAACACAAAAGTTTTAATAAAGTCCATTTTTAACAAAAATACACAAAATTTTTTACTGTGTACGTTTCAGATTTCCATCGATGAATACAGAACACATTATAATATTAGCTAGATATATATAAATACTTAAAATCTAATAGTAGGTTTTCCCGTAAACAATAATAGAGAGTCGGTGAAGAAATGTCGTATGACAATCTTTAACAAGGCAAAGGAAAGAAAAGTTTGTCCTTTAGAATCTAGTAAATAAAATTGAATATAATTTCTTATTTACTTCTTATGTTAAATTATTATAAACTTTGAGAAAAATTAATATCTTGGATGTCCTTTTGTCAATAAATTGGAATAAAATACAGGCTGATTCAGGACCTCTGCACAAACTCTGAGGAACAACAGATCTCGCAGGGGAACCATTTTCTGTGAAGCAACCTATGTTCTCTCATTCTCTGACACATCATTAAGAGCTATGCGACCGCTCAGATAGTTCTTAGATAGTTCTGAACCTGATTGTATTCTGCGCTACAGTTTGCAATGCTTTAACATGCCTTCAAATGTTTGATAGAGTCAATGTTATGACCGTGTCATGAATGTAATTAAATTCAGGGTAGATACTTTGAAAATAAACTGCCTGTAAGTTTACTTGAAACAATAAATAAATAATTTATCTTATAATTATAATAAATGTCACCTATAAAGGCCTGTCTGCGCGGTCGCGTAGCTCCTAAACGACTCGTCAGAGAACATAAGTTGCTTTACAGAAAATGGTCCTTTTTCTACGAGATCTATTGTTCTTCAGAGTTTATCGCATAGGTCCTGAATGGTCACCCTATATAGATAATAGAAAAAGAAAAGAAAAATAAAAGTTTCAAGTTTTACAATGCTTCTAACAATTTTAATTCAATTTTCTATATAATCGTAATTCGGAAATTACTTTTTTGTTAAGAAAAAAATTTATTTTTAATTTATTTGCATTTTAATGCGAATCTTTTATATGTGAATAAGATAGAAGTTATTAGAAGTACTCAATAAAAATACAAAATAAATGTATTAATTAAAATATAGGTATATGAACAAAAAAAAAGATTGCTGATAAAAGTTAATGAAGATGATGGAGACCTCTACAGAAAAATCAGGTTTATACGACAAACAGGTTTATATGACATGAGATAATTTTATTTCTTAAAAATTGTCCTTCAGCTCTAGTTGAAATTTTTTTGAAATGTATTTCTGCTTACAAGCATTCAAATTTTTATCTAACATAAAATTTCTGAGTTGGCAAAGTTCTTTTATAAATACCAATATTTAGTCACAAGGATTATTGGTTATTTAGAAATATCGTTTTATTATAGTTTTATTAGTATAGAAAAAAAATAGTATGTATATAGTAATAATATCAGCAATCAGTCACAAAATATTAAAAATAGTTAAGAGTAACTTAAGAAATTAATAATAACAAACAGCTTAATAATAATCAGCTTACTTAAAGCTAAAAATAAAGAGAAATGTTCAGAGCAAGAGACATTACACGAATTATTCGAGACCCACTAATTATATGCTTCTTGTTTCATAGATTCCACAACCACTCAAAACTATTTTCTTACATTTCGTTTTACAAGTACAATAATAGAAAAATAAACTGACAGCAAGAGGTACGTCAAACAAGATTTAAATGTAATGATGTAAACATATGTTTATCAGTTGATTGATAGGTCTGTTTTTATAGTAACAATCTTATAACAATAACAATAAAGTTATAAAATAACATTTATGTTCATTAATGTAAAAGAAATCTTTGGTTTAGCTTTGCGATTAATTTAATACAAATTGAATTAAAATGTAAAAAATTAATGTACATCACTAATACGAAAAAAATAACATAATCCGCGCGTAGAATATTATGTTAATTTAATGCATTTTTACATTTGTACACATTTATGTACAACCGAATCTTTTTAAAGCAAAGGATTATAGTTATTGTCAAAATTTATGTGTTATATCTCTCTATCAAATTTAATTTGTACCAAGTATAATTTAAACCTGTATAGACGTATTCCCTTTACATTACAACACTTTTGAAATCAGCATGACAACTTTTTGCAAAGTTTTATATACTCTGTTGAAAGATACATACAGCGTACTATTTTATAAGATGTCTTAGAATATTCGTAAATGTCTTTCCTACTGAATACTTATTAAGACATGCAGTAATGATATAAAATGTTATCTGCAATAAAAGTGTAAATATGTGTCACTATATTACAATCCATTAATTCTGCATAAATTTTGAAAATAGTTCCGCTGATTCTGAATTTCAGAGAATCGTCCATCTATTCTTAGTTTAACTGTCAATAATGTCACATTAATATAATT